ATTGTATTGTAATTATGAAAATTATTATGGTGAATTTAATTTGAAATTTTTATACTTTGCACGCTTGCTCGCAGGCAGAATACAATGACTTTGAGGCTGTAAGATCTTCCTTTGTAAATATGTATTCTTGCAAATAAATGAATTTGAATTTGAATTTGAATTAGACAAAAGAATCTAGATGCACTAAATGCAGTCTAAGTAATACTTCCAGGTCACAACGGAAGTAACAAATTGAACACTAGATAAATACGTTAATTAGAACTTTTTACAATTAGTCCTTCAAATGAACCTTAACAGTATAGAATTAAGGTTTACAATTAATTGATTACATTGCTTAATCAGTAATTATACGCTAAGTTAATTTTGTTTGCATCATCATTATTTTTTCATTTATTACATTCTTGTAAATTTATACTAGATAATTATTTGGTAATCAAATTGTAATACTATGTAAGGCATTTCTATAATAACTTAAATAATAATATTACTTATTATTAATATTGTTACATCAGCTTTAATATTGCACTATTTTAAGGTAAAGTTCGTTAACTGGTCTTTGAAATTTCGGTTTATTTAGTAGTTTATTATGTAATATGGAATGTAAAAGTTTATTATGTAATTGTTGAGTGTGGAAGAGCCATGCTTTGGCAAGAATACCACTGCCTGACAAAAAATCGACGTAAAACAAAACTTGTGTTGTATTGCGTCGTGTGAGTGAGGTTATCAGAGGCCTAGTTATCCATCCCCAACCTCCCGAATCCCCAACAACCATCAAATTCCTAATCCCAAAAGGACAGTAACGCACTTGTAACATCTCCTGTGTTTTGGGTGTCCACGGGCGGCGGCGATTGCTTACCATCAGGTGATCCGCATACTAGTTTACCGGTTTATTCCATACATCAAAATTAATACAATACTTTAGATTGAGCATGGTTGCAATACCTGGTCGAAGGTATTGCACCAGGCTCTGCGAGGTGTCCATTACATGGGGTTTATCATAATCAATCTGTAACTGGCCCACTGCTGCGTACATGACGAAGTAATGATGGAAGTGCAAAGGACTCATAATCAGCGAAGAACAGTCGTCTTTGAAAAATATTAAATAAGATTTCATGTCAAATAAAGCAGACTAAAGCCAAGGATACAACTAGGGGACCAGTAATGTCATGTGACAAGTGTCGCCAGCGACGTTGGGTGAAGTAGTGCGACGTTGCCGGTCTTTGGTCGACATGTCTACCAACATCAACGTCGCTGTGGACATAAGGCGCCTTATTTTTTTTATTTAAACTGTCAAACACCGCGAGGACACCGGCGACCGCAACCTATTGTTCTTTAATTGTGTCTATAATGACGGTACTCAACGAGTTAAATACATTTCAAGCACAAAATGTACAAATAGGTGGACTTAATGCCGCAATAATTTTCTACTAGTCTGACCTTTGGTTGATGTAGAGAAGAGCCAAATGGCCTACCATTTACCATGGCGAGCAATAGTATGTCGCCTTATAATATGTCGGGCAAAATCGGCAGGCTTCGCTCGATATGTCGCCGATACATGTCGTGGGATATTCATTTCTCCTGTAGTGTATCCTTGGCTTAAGACTAGATGCCAACTAAAAGCGAGTTTCTATCTCTTTCATTGCAAAACCAATTATACTTTAGGTACTGTATAACTTCTTTAGGACTTTAATCTAATAGGTGTCGTGTCATCTAGATATTATCGTCATCGTCATGATCATCTGATTCCCATCTCCCAGCATCCTTATGATGGGAAATAACCAATTTACTCACAAAACACACGGCACTAAATTGACACTATTTATGCACACTACCGCCATCACGTTTTTTGCCAGTAGTGGAATAAATTGGAACTAATGGTTTCAAGGAAAATGTTTCAGAAAATAGCATAATGACTTTTATATTAAAAAAGTCACTATATATAGAACACATTAAAATGTCAGTTGTGTTATGAATCCCTAGCAATGAGCAAGCTAATACGTTCCACCAGGTCTGACAATTCCAACACACGTAATATTCACCTATTTATTTGAAACTAGCTTAACTCGCAACTTCATCTACGATTTTCTAAAATCAAAGTAGCCTAGTATGTTACTCTTTAGTATATTAGCTACCTGCCAATAAAAGTCCCGTCACAATCGTACCAGTTCTTTCAGAGATTAGGCAATACATACAGGCAGACAAAACCTTTAAAAAAGTGTCATTTTGGTATATGTATCGTATGTACATTCATATGCTTGTAGTAAAAAGCGGTTATTTCAATAATACAAACATACACTCCAATTTCATTTATTTGTATAGATGAAAAGAAATTCTAACGAAATTTAAGTAAATGGATGCTCTGCTTAACCTAACCCAAGCATCACTAAACTATATACCCTGCAGTTGTAGTTCGCACCTTGAACAAAAACAATCAAACAAGTTATATGTTAATCACTCAAACTGTCAAATCCAGTCATTACTTACAGCGCAAAGCCCCGTAATATTATTTACGACATGTTTTCACCATGGCAACAGCACACAATATGTAGCATGGATGTATGTATGTATGTATGTATGTATGTATGTATGGTGCAGTACACAAGGCAAGGTACAAGGTTGAT